GCATAATGTACTGGAGACATACCATTATTATCTAATGTACAATTGATATTATATTCTTCTAATGCTTTCACTAGTAATGTACTGCCACTGCGTGATGCTAAATGAAGTAATGATATACATGTACCATGATTTGTAGTGACACTGATGTCAAAGTGGCAATTAACAGCTTTCTTAAGAAGTGAATTGAACATTTTTATTCTTTTGTTGCGTGTAATAAAATTAATGTTATTTTTAATTTTATTACCACTAATAATTTCAATATTTGGTGCATCACACTGTGCAATTAGCTTACTATACACAGTGGCCTTAATACCAATGGATACATTACTTGCATAATGTAAACATGACTCACCATGATTATTGTTAACTAATAATGCTTTAATACCTTGAATACTAACAATATACTCAACAACTGCTGATGAAGCATACCATGAAGCAATATGAAGTGGAGCCCGACCATATCGATCCTTTACATCAATGGATAATTGATATCGATTTAAAAGATATTTAAAGAGGTCAACACTGTTACTCATAGAAGAGTAATGCAGAATGCTAAATCCATATAAATCAGACAAATTTGGTTTGAAGAGGTGTACCGCTTCCAGCTTATGAATTAATGCTATCTGCCCACTTTTACAAGCTAACAATGATAAAGAAGCATTATGGGAGTTAATTTGAGAAATATGACAATTTCTCTCAATAAAGAATTCCACTAGGTCATAATGGCCCCCCATTGCTGAGTACAGTAATGCAGTGTTATTGCTATTGTCTGGTTGATCAGGAGAAACGTGACACGTATCTACTAGATATTGTACTATTGATAAGTGGCCTTTATAAGATGCCATATGTATACTAGATACACTATTATCATCACCTTCATTAGGATCAATACCATATTGATGGATGAGTAGTTGAAGGATCTCAATGTGTCCACCATATGATGCAGAGTGTAATGGAGTCCAACCGTGAAGACCACGATGATATGTGCTGTAACCAAACTTGTCAAGGAGCCATTGTACTTCATCTTTTAATCCTCTCCAAGCTGCTTCGTGTAATGGTGTACTGGTATTCTCATACCATAATGGATCACATGTATCTAAAAGGAATTATCAATATACATATGTACATGAATAAATGAATCATCAAATAATGACATCACAATAGGTAGTGTAAAATAAAATTACATGTTATACGCATCCACTTACTGTACATACCAATATCTAAAGATGACTGCTGCAATTTTTGTGATGCTGAGAACTATTAAAACAAATAAATTTATTTAATATTAAAAGATACTTACAAACCTTTCTTAGATCATATTTATAATCACCACATGTTAGTTCAGTGATACCAATACTAGCTAACTGTTCCTGTATCTCTATAGATAGAGGAAACAATGCAGAGTATAGGTAATCAGGAATATTATGTAGCAGCTGTAGAGACCCAATACGAACAAAACTGAAGTATAGATTAATGTTAGGAATATTAAGCTCTTCTGGTATTGCTCTACGAAAGAAGAAAAGGTCAGCTGGTGTGTAGTCATCACGATCAACTTTAGCAATCATTACTCGTGTATTAGGAGGAACATCTGTTATACCAAATTCTAAAGCATTAGCATCAGTTAATAAACCTCCACTGTTAAGTAAGTAATCTTTTAATTTTTCTTTGTAGTCTGACCATGTCCTCTTTAATGAACGATTATTAGGTAGGAATACATTAACAAGTTTAACTATTAGTTCATAGTTGAACCATGATATGTACTTTCGTTGTAAAACCATAAAAAGATCTTTTATACTTTCAATGTTATGTAACTCTTCTTTAATTCCTTGCATTGCAGCTTCATTATTTTTGTTTGGACCAAGTAAAGCATGTACATGTGTCTCAAGATAATCAATAACTTTTGAAAGGAGTTTAGGTTTAAATGCATCTCTTGTTTTGTTAAGAATATCAGAAAACTCCCATTGAAACTCATATATCTCATTCAGAAGACGAACATCTTTCACAGGAAGAGCATAAATAGAATCTATAAAAAAGAATAGCAGAAATGAAGAAGCCAAAATGATCAATGTGAATCATATGAATTTCAATAAAGGTCACCTCCAAAATTACCATTCATTATCAATGCATGTGGTCTTATTGCTACATTTATGGAAATGAAATGTGAGTGACTGCACCAGTGTATGAATAACGATTAAATTTAAATGATTTATTGTTACCTCTCAGCACAAAATTATTGAGAGCTTTATATTTTTCAAGTCATAACAATTCGCAAAGTTTATTTTGCAAATTAATTTTTATGGTACAACATATCAGACCATGTAATTTAATCTGTGAAATAAATTTTGGGCAAACCTGTTGTGCTTTCTTCTCCAGTAGATGCTTGTAGAGGATGTTCATGAGCTATTTCTTCAGCTAATGCTGGATCATTTCCTCCTCCTTTAACAGCTACACACACTCTCCTCCAACATGGGGAGCCAAAGAACTCATGATCGTAATCCTTCTTCAACCAATAATCTAAAACCTTGCGCAGACATGATTCACAACTACTGCCACAATCAGCTTCAATGATGTCAATAGTATCTGGTCTTATGTACAGTGAGTTAGCAAAATGCTTCCAACGAGCAGCAACGGGTTTAACTTTATCATACACGACATTAAGATCACCAATGCCTAGAAAATACGGATCACAGAACTTTCGCAATCGTAACCTTATCAACTCACAGAGCACTTTACTGCAAACATTTTCAAAGATCTGCGCCATAGTTTTATGCGTCTTTTCATAGATAGGGCCTTTTTTTTTTTTTTTTTTTTTTTTTTTTTTTTTTTTTTTTTTTTTTTTTTTTTTTTTGCGCTCTCGCCCACGCATTTAGGTGGGGCTGAATTAGAGGTGTGGCTAAGTCATAATTATGAATAGCATAGATAATAGAGTAAATGAAAGGGATTGGAAACGGAAGCGTGGGCGTAGCCCAACCTCCATTCATTTGTATTGTTGCTAAGTAAACAGAGGAGGGTTGGGATTTTTTGACCGATTTTGGAGTAAAAAACTGAGATTTTCTTGCTTTATTCTTGAATAACTCCAAGAGAATACAATTCATGCAAACAAAACTCACACACACAATACTAACCAGTGTTTATGCTTTTTATTAATATTTTTTGCTCAGTAAATCAATGCATGCGTTAGTAGCCGCGTCTCTCT